ACCTGGCACCCCTTTTCTACCTCAGGTACTTCTTGATGGCCATGGAAGAACAGATTAACACAGGAACCCGGCCTTGAGAAATCAGGGGGGACCACTCAGAAGAGGTGACATCTGGGTCAAGTCCCGAGGGATCAATATTCATGAGTCATGGAGAGTTCTAGGCTGGAGGAGCAGCATGTGCCACGTTCCAGATGAGAAAGAGCTAGAAGTGGACTGTGGCTCGGGGCAGGGTGGGAGCAGGAGACATGGAGAGAAAGAGGTAAGAGATGAGCTTGGGAGCTGGTCCGGAAGGGGTTAATCCTGGAGGACCTGCAAAGTGCAACAAAGAAGTTGGGAGTTTGTTCTGGAGAATCCAGAACCAGGAGGGGGTCCTTGTAGGTTTCAAGGCTGCTGAACGTGAACCAAAAGGTCCAGGCAGGGAATGCCGGCTGCCCAAACAGGGGCAGTGTTAGGGGGTGAGAGAGAGATGGGTGGACACAAAAGAGAGTTGCCAGGCAACAACAATGGCGGCAGGACCTTTGGGGATATCTACAACAGGGGGCAGGCATGACAGCAATCCGTTTTCTAAAAGGTTGCTGAGAGTGAAACCTTAATAAAATGATATAATAAGAAAAAACCATCTTTGGTAAAATGTTGCCTCTCATTCCAGACCCCAGTCTGTGGATGGCCTCACTCCTCCTGGGTGCAAGGGGTCAGGGAAGACAATATGAGGATGCATCCTCTACTGTCATCCTCCCCGCTGGGGGTCATGGCCTTCCACAGGCCAGCCCACAGTCTGTGTCTCATCCTCAGCTGTGGCCCCGGGAATGTCCTGCTGATTCATTATGGGCCCATAGGCTTGGAAAGGTGTCTGCTCTGTCCTACTCCTTTAAAGTCACCTGGCTGTCTTGGTAGTCATGGGGATGAAGTAAAACAGCAGCTCTCAACCTTGTCCTGCCACATCACAAGTAAATGACATTCGAGGGGCAGCCACCTGCCTCCAGCAGGAATAAGAATGCTGTGTGGACAATTCAGCTGCAGATTACCTGCAATTCCTGGTGCACCTGCTACACACCAAGGCATGCTGGGACGGACCACCCAGGCGTGAGCAGGATGCTGGGATTGGCCACTTCAGCATGAGAAGCTGTGTGGATGAATGCCTGCACAGCGGTCCAAAAATTCCCCGAGACTGTCACTGTCCTTCCCTCTGCTTTGCCTTCCTCATTCTGTGGCTTTTACACTTTCATCCAGGTGGCTCAATTTTTTGATTTCCACCTATTGTCAGGCCCAGGATTACCCTGTAGGGGTCGACAGTAGGTTGGTCTGGTACAAGAGAAATCCAAATTGTTCTGCATGTGTGAGGCTGACCTTGGCTGGATCTGGGAGATAACCTTGCCCCAGCTGTAGGGACCACCTCGCAGTCCTCCTTACGGAGTCGTGATGAGGCTGCGTGTATTTGATGGTCACCTGTGGCTATAAAACCTGTGGGCAATGTAGCAGGATGGTGCCAGGGCATTACTATGAAATTGTATCTGTAAACTGAAAGTTAGACCAAGGTTTCATTGCTTCATTTTTTTCAACCACATAAAGTAATTGTGCTGGGTTTTAGAAGGTGGAGCTGAGGACTAATAGGTTAGTCAAGTCGTACATCTGAACTTCCTAAAACCTGACATCTCTCGCCCTGCCCTGGCAGAGCGCCATCAGGAGACACTAGGAGACCCGAGAAGCCACTTCACCTAACATCCTCTTCGTGATCTCTCTAAGAACGTTTGCTGACGATGCAGCCTCTGTGCTTCCCACACTCAACAGTAGCTGCGTTAGAGGCACAGGTAAAAAGGCCCGTTTTCACCGGCCTCCAACCAAGGCATCTGCAGGGACACTTCAGCATGCCATCACACCAGATAGTGCTGCTGCCCCTTGGCTCTCTGTGGGCATGCAGCCCCAGAGATGCAAGACCCTCTGCAATTTCAGGAATGGACAAAAGTCTGGATCTTCATGCCAATACTTCTGATTTTTTTTTTTTTTTTTTTTTTTTTGAGACAGAGTTTTGCTCCTGTTGCCCAGGCTGGAGTACAATGGCACAATCTTGGCTACCACAACCTCCGCCTTCTAGGTTCAAGCAATTCTCCTGCCTCAGCTTCCCAAGTAGCTGGGATTACAGGCATGTGCCACCATGCCCAGCTAATTTTGTGTTTTTAGTAGAGAGGGGGTTTCTCCATCTTGGTCAGGTTGGTCTTGAACTCGCCACCTCAGGTGATCTGCCTGCCTCGGCCTCCCAAAGTGCTGGGATCACAGGCATGAGCCACTGCACCCGGCCAATATTTCTGAATTTTTAAGGAGATAATTAAAACTTCCAAAATGTTTTTAAATTAAAAAACAGTATGGCTAATTCCTGTAATCCCAACACTCTGGGAGGCCGAGGTAGGTGGATCACCTGAGGTCAGGAGTTTGAGACCAGCTTGGCCACCATGGCAAAACTTGTTTCTACTAAAAATACAAAAATTAGCTCGGCATGGTGGCAGGCACCTGTAGTTCCAGCTACTCAAGGGTCTGAGGCATGATAATTGCTTGAACCCCAGATGCGGAGGTTACAGTGAGCCCAGGTCATGCCACTACACTCCAGCCTCCAGTCTGGGTGACAGAGTGAGACTCCAACTAAAAAAAAAAAAAAAAAAAAAAAAAAAAAAAAAGAGAAACAATAACAGGGGCCACGACAAAAACTCAGCATCATGTGATTAAACTCCATCAGAGCCAAACCACATAGGTCTGCAGGTCATGGCCATGGCCCACCAGCTCTGGGCTCCTCAGTTCTAAGATTCTGCTCTCCAGCTCCCTCCCACTGGTCATCAGTGTTGTGACTTGTGCCCTGGGTGACAGTCATATCTGCTTTTGGAACATTTCTTCCCCTATCTGCAAGAGGCAAGTCACCCCTACCGTCTCCCCAGATAAACATGTCCTCGGGACTTTCCCCAGTGAACCGGCCCAGGCCCTGGCCCCCAGTACCCTGGAGATGGAGGCTGGGAGGTAAGAAAGACGCTGCACCCCTCTTTTCTTTGCTGCTTTCCTCTCCTGGGTGTTTATCTGCAGGCCACACTGCTTTCAGAAGTCTATCCCTTCATCTACCACCCCTTGAACATCTCTGATGGCAGGCCAGCACTCTCTCAGCTCTCTGGGATGGCATTTGTCTCATCTGCCAGCCTAGTGATCTTGCCAAGAGAGGAAGGAACTGGGTCTGCTGTGACCTGAACTTCGTCACCCATACCATCAGAGCTGGTGACCTAAGCTTCCTCCAAGTTGAGGGGTGGTGCAGCTCCATTGAAGCCTCCTCTTCTCTCCTCCAGGCTCTGCCTGCCTCACAGAGAGCACATGGCTCTGACGACAGTGTCCAAAGGAAGACCTGGGATGGAGAGCTCTGCTTTCTCACCATCTTCTCCGCCTGGCTTCTCCAACATGTTAAAAATTCACGGTGGCTCCCACCTGTAATTCCAGCACTTTGGGAGGCCAAGGCAGGCGGATCATGAGGTCAGGAGTTCGAGACCAGCCTGAACAACATGGTGAAACCCTGTCTCTACTAAAAATACAAAATAAGCCAGGTATGATGGCATGTGCCTATAATTCCAGCTACTCAGGAGGCTGAGGCAGGAGAATCACTTGAGCTGGGGAGGCAGAGGTTGCAGTGAGCTGAGATTGTGCCACTGCACTCAAGCCTGGGCAACAAAACTCACTTTTTTGCTGATATCTATGGTGCTTTTTTTGGCTAGAATCTATAGCTTTTTCGAGACTCTGTTTATTTTAGCTTTTAGCCTTCCTGATATCATTCTTACAAATGTTGCCTGGGGACACTCTTTCCATTCATTTACTCAGCCAGTACTTACTGAGCACCTATTTGGCAAGTACTGGGCAGCAACTGAGAATGAAACAGTGAAAAGTTCGGAAAGGTCTCTGACTGAGGGAGGGCCTATTCTGCTGGTGCTCTGAAGACAGTAAAACAAGACAACGTGACAGAGGATGCTGAGAATCCAGTAGGTGACTACTCACATGGGAAAATCAGGGAAGGTCCCTACAAAGGAGACATATCTACTAAAACCTCAATAAAGAGAAGCAGCCAACCATGCAAGGATTTAGAGGGAGAGCAGTTCTGGCAGAGGGGCCAGCAAAGAGAAAGGCCCTGAGGCAGGCAGGAGCTTAGCATGGGAGGGGAACCTGGAAGGTCGGCTGGCTGGACTCGGGTGAACATGGGGCTGAGATGAGGTCAGAGGAGGGCAGAGGCCACATCCCCCTGGCCTCTTAGGTCAGGGTGGGGCTGGCTCGCAGGAGTGCTAAGGCTGACTCTGATTCGGCCTGAGGTCGGTGTCCCTCTCAATCAGACTCACTTGTGGTCCCCTATAGCCCGCAGGCTTGCTGAAAGTGCCCCGCTTCCTTCCTCACCGCAGCCTCTGTGCAATCCGAATTGCATAGTGAATTTCCCTGTCACTCAGGAGCCTGGGCAGGGCTTGACCCCTAGTTCAGTTACCAGGAACCAGTCCTCCCCCACCTTCCTGCCCTAACCCCCACTGGGTCTCAGTCTCTGCATCTGTGAAGTGGCTGAGCGAGACCAAATGACGCAGGCAGCCTTTCCACTTCTTTCTACCCACGGCGCCTTGGAGTTTGATTGGTAGAGGATGAAGTGACTGCGGGATCCTGGCGAGAAGTGAAACTGAAAGAAAAAATTCCTCCTGGCTCTAGGGAGGTCGGCAGAGGGGGTTTGGAGTAACAGGCAGAGGTAGAGGAGGAGGGAGGTTTTTAGAAAGCTGACCGGCAGGAGCTCTGTGACCCAGGCTTTCACTTCTCCTAAACACCCAACTGCGCCATGTGATGCAGGCCGGCGACTGCGGATAGGGCCAGTGAAAGGGGAAGCCGGGGGAGCCCAGAGTTTCTCAAGAAGCAGAGAGAGGGACAGAGGCTGAGCCTGGAAGGAGGGCTGGAGGGGCCTGGGAGGGGAGTGGAGGCAGTGGGGGTGAGGGGGACAGGGACAGGTAGAGAAGACGGCAGGGGCAGCAGGGTCACTGGGGCAGAGGGAGCCCCTACCCCACCCCAGGGCAGGCCAGCTGTCATAAGGAGAGGGGACAACAGGAAGGGGCGACAGACGGGGAGGCCAGGGGAAAAGAGGAGGCGGAGGGGCTTCGAGGTGGAGCAGTGAGGGTGGCAGTGTGAAGCAGAGGAGGGGGAGCACGGGGAGGAAGGGTTAGGGGTGGGGGAGGGAGAGTGGGGTTGAGGATTAGGGAGGAGGTCGTAGAGTCGGGGTAGTGAGCAGAGGAGGACTAGAACGGTAGGGCAGGAAAGGGAGAGGGGACAGGAGAGGAGGGCGGGCCGTTGGGTGTGGGAGAGCAGAGGAGAGCCGCGGGGGGCCCGGCACGGAGCCAGGATGCCCGCGCCACGCGCCCTGGGGGAGCAGCCCCGCTTGCCCCGGGAGCGTCGGCCGCTGCTGCCTCGCGGCACGCGGGGCCCTCGACGGTGGCGGCGGGCGGCGGGCGCCGCGGTGCTGCTGGTGGAGATGCTGGAGCGCGCCGCCTTCTTCGGCGTGGCCGCCAACCTCGTGCTCTACCTCAACAGCACCAACTTCAACTGGCCCGGCGAGCAGGCGTCGCGCGCCGCGCTGGTCTTCCTGGGCGCCTCCTACCTGCTGGCGCCCGTGGGCGGCTGGCTGGCCGACGTGTACCTGGGCCGCTACCTCGCGGTGGCGCTCAGCCTGCTGCTCTACCTGGCCGCCTCGGGCCTGCTGCCCGCCACCGCCTTCCCCGACGGCCGCAGCTCCTTCTGCGGAGAGATGCCCGCGTCGCCGCTGGGGCCCGCCTGCCCCTCGCCCGGCTGCCCGCGCGCCTCGCCCAGCCTCTACTGCGCGCCGGTGCTCTACGCCGGGCTGCTGCTCCTCGGCCTGGCCGCCAGCTCCGTCCGGAGCAACCTCACCTCCTTCGGGGCTGACCAGGTGAGTGGGTGGTGGGAGGCCTGCCCGGGCCAACTCCCGCGGGGGTGGAGGGAAGCAGGGCTGGCCCCCAGCGTGACCCGGGACACACCGCTTCCCCTGCCTGCGCCTGCTTTCCTGAAGGAAGAGGGGTGCTAGCCCTTGCAGAACATGGCAACCGCAGTGGGAACAACCATGGCTGGATTTTGGGGTTTTTTTTTTTGAGACGGAGTTTCCCTCTGTCGCTCAGGCGGCAGTGAATGGTGCCATCTCGCCTCACTGCAACATCCGCCTCCCCAGGTTCAAGCGATTCTCCCGCCTCTGCCTCCTGAGTAGCTGGGACTACAGGTGCCCGCCACCATGCTTGGCTAATTTTTGTGGTTTTTTTTTTTTCTTTCTTTCTTCCTCCTACCATAAATGAAGTGTACTTTAAGTATTTTTTTTTTTTTAAAGATGGGTGTCACCATGTTGGTCTCGAACTCCTGACCTCAGGTGATCCGCCCGCCTCCGCCTCCCAAAGTGCTGGGATTACAGGGGTGAGCCATGTGCCAGGCTGGTTGGTCTTCTTTGAGCTACGTGTAGTCCCTACGCTAAGCACTCTCACTCATTTCATCCTCTTCACTACTAGAAATTAGTATGCCCGTTTTACGGAGAAAGACGCTGAGACGTTTCATGGCAGTAATCAACTTGTCCAAGGTAACCTGGAGAGCAGGTGGAGGGGCGCGTAAGGGCTGCTGGACTCTGGGTCTCCCCATGCGCCCCGTCTCGGTGTGTTATGGGGCTGTGAGTGAGGGGCAGGAGCCAGCCAGCCTCGTCCCACCGGCAGAGCTGCAGGTTGTCAGGCTGACTTGCTCAGATCCCAGCTCCGCCCTTCACTAGCTGGAGGCACATGGGCAAATAGTTCGACTTCTGAGCCTCCCTGTGTTCCCCCTTGGACAGAGCGTGGCATATAGAATAAATGTAATACATATCTGCTCAGTAAATGAGTAAATGCCAACAACATGGCTCTATTTTGATAGCTGTGCCCAGTGGGATATTAGGCAATAATTTAGACTAAAATGTAATATTATTAAATAACCACATATGGTGCGAATGAGCAAAAGGTCTGCATACAGATAAGAGCGCAGCCGCGTGGAAAGACGAGGTGTCCACGAAAGGAAACGAGAAAGACTGTCACAGTAGTAGAGTCAGGACATTGGATTCCTTGCACTTTTTTCTTAATTGTCTCAGTTTTTTAAATGTTCTTTGATTGCATATGTTATACGCATAAATGGGACATTTTTCAAGACGATCATTTCATCCCACTGGAACCCACAATTCAGCACCCAGCAGTTTTCAGTGTCCTTGACAAGGAGTCACTTGTCCAGCTTGTTTAGGATCCTTTGATGATGAGGACTTTGTGCCCCAGAACAGCCCTGGTCTTTTGTTTTGTTTTGTTTTGTTTTGAGACAGTCTCGCTCTGTTGCCCAGGCTGGAGTGCAGTGGTCTCAGCTCACTGCAAACCCCACCTCCCAAGTTCAAGCAATTCTCCCTGCCTCAGCCTCCAAGGCAGCTGGGATTACAAGCACCTGCCACCACACCAGGCTGATTTTTGTATTTTTTTAGTAGAGACAGGGCTTTACCACTTGGCCAGGCTGATCTTGAACTTCTGACCTCAGGTGATCCACCTGTCTCAGCCTCCCAAAATGCTGGGATTACAGGCATGAGCCACTGCGCCCAACCAACCCTGGCTATTTCTTACCTGTTGACATTCCTTCAGAGCTAGAGACCACCAATATTTGTCAGTGGGAATCTTTCATCTTCCCTTAACCCTATTCTTTCATTGATATGCCACTAACACCCCCAACCCAGTACCCTTAACCTGTCCTTGACCCTATTGACCTCCAGAGAGCCTCACCCATCCAGTGCCCCCTGTGGCAAAACTGCTCTTCTGGAGGCCAGGCCACTGAGCAGAGCCTCTCATGGCACCAAAAGTGGCAGCAGCTGCTATACATTCTCCCTTTGGCTAGGCACCATCTTTGGGTGGAGCAAGGGCAGGCTGCAAGGCTGCCTCATGAAGTCAGGACCTGACCCCAGGACAGTGCGGAAGCACTGAAATGGTATGAGGCAGGAATGGACATCACTGGATATGAGCTCTTCAAAAATGGCTCTGGCTGCAGTGTAGACAGCATATGGGTTAACAAGAGTGGATGTTTCACAACAGGGAGGAAGCTGCTGCAGGATTCAGGGGGGCAGTCAGATGGGGGATGTGGGGGTGGGTGGGACTGGTACCATCTGGCAACAGCTATACCCCAGGAGCTGCATGTTTCACACACTTGCTGATTTCAGAAAGGACCATCATCCATCACTCTCGACAAAGTGTCTGCTCATTCTAAAAGAACTCATTTATATCCTGAATGGGCTGCCTGGTCTTCCCCCTTAGTTACAATAGTCATATTCATTTACTTCCAATTAATAAATACAAGTGGCTGCTTCTAATGGGACCTATTCAATTTTTTCTGCTTGAAAGTCTACAGCAAGAATTATCGGTGAGCTGGCATGCCCTTCCCTGCCCATTGCCAGAAGGACCCTTCAGAATCTCCAATGGAATGCAGTTTTAAGTGCATCCGTGTGGACTATGATTTTACATTTGAAAAAGGAAGAAAAAAACTTATCTTTTCCCCAATGCAACCACAGAAAGTAAAGATTGACAAAATCTCCTTAGCTAGTGGAGCTAGAAATCTCTGAGTGGAAGGCAGTAATGAATACTGAAATTTGCAGGGGCATCGAAAGGGTGGCTGCTAAATGTAATATTTAGCAATGTAGAGAAGCATTTATTCTCTCCATTAAAATGGCTCCCAGTCCTCACTGCTTTTTTATTTTTTATTTTTTATTTTTTTATTTTATTTTATTTTTTGAGACGGAGTTTCACTCTTGTTACCCAGGCTGGAGTTCAATGGTACGATCTCGGCTCACCGCAACCTCCGCCTCCTGGGTTCAGGCAATTCTCCTGCCTCAGCCTCCTGAGTAGCTGGGATTACAGGCACGCGCCACCACGCCCAGCTGATTTTTTGTATTTTTAATAGAGACGGGGTTTCACCATGTTGACCAGGATGGTCTCGATCTCTTGACCTCGTGATCCACTCGCCTCGGCCTCCCAAAGTGCTGGGATTACAGGCATGAGCCACTGTGCCCGGCCCTCACTGCTTTTTTAAATGCAGATGCCCAGGTCCTGCTCCAGACCTGCTGAGTCAGGATCTGGCACCTGGGTCTGGGAGATTTGGGGGCAGCCAGTGCAGCTGACCGGAGCTAACGGACCAGAAGGGGCCTGGGGCCTGGCTGTTGCTGATTGATCCAAATCCTGGGTAAAGATTTTCAGCCCATCTGCCCTTGCTGGGAGGCCTGAAAAAAAAAATGTTTTTTCATCAGCTCAGAACTCGCTCTTGGGGCTGTGCCTTGGACCACCTCTGCCATATATCAGAAGGACGAAAGTTGGGTGAAAGGATGGGTCACAGTAGGCTTCTCTGCTTGCCTCTCCGAACTGCAGAGGAAATCCTCACTCACACTTCTGTTCTTTCGATAATGTGCATACATCATTTTAAATAATGTGCATCAAAACGGAGATCTTTACTGGCTTTTTTTCTGATTATAAAAGTAATGAATAGTGTAGGTTGCTTAGTCAAAGACAAAGGGATAACTCAACCAGAAATGAACAAGTGGCATTCGAGACATCTGTTGTATGGGCTTCTCTGCGACAATAAAAAAGCAGTGTGTGTCATGGGTATGCCAAAATCAGCGAGGCCAAATGTCCTGATCTTTAGCAAGTGACTCCCCAGAGAAGGATTCATTCATTCATTCAGCAAATATTTATCCAGCGTCTATTTAGTGATCAGAGACTAGGAAAGTGTCAGAACACCCACCACCCACTGACCCAAGAAGTGTCTCTGTAGGAGGGAGGGGTACAGGTACCGAGAGCGTCCCAGACACCCTGGGCCCTCACGGTCGTCCCTTCCTGACTGGCAGGTGATGGATCTCGGCCGCGATGCCACCCGCCGCTTCTTCAACTGGTTTTACTGGAGCATCAACCTGGGTGCTGTGCTGTCACTGCTGGTGGTGGCTTTTATTCAGCAGAACATCAGTTTCCTGCTGGGCTACAGCATCCCCGTGGGCTGTGTGGGTCTGGCATTTTTCATCTTCCTCTTTGCCACCCCCATCTTCATCACCAAGCCCCCCATGGGCAGCCAAGTGTCCTCCATGCTTAAGCTCGCTCTCCAAAACTGCTGTCCCTGGCTGCGGCACCGACACTTGGCCAGGTAAGGAGGGGCTCTGGGTGCAGGGAGCCTCCGAGCCTGGAGAAGTGCTGGACTGCTCCTGGGGAGGCATGGACCAGGTGCCAGATGTTCTGGTTCAGCTACAGTGATAGGTTTTTATGATGATCTGCTCCCCAGTGGGCTAGAACTGTCCATTGTGACTGAGGATGAAGGTCAAGGTTGTGGTGGTGGTGGTGGTATTATTGGAGGCCATCTACATGTAGAATGTGTGAAGATGGGGCTGGGCACAGTGGCTATGCCTCTAATTCCAGCACTTTGGAAAGCCAAGGCTGGTGGCTACCTTGATTCCAGGAGTTTGAGACCAGCCTGGGCAACATAGCAAAACCCCATTTCTTAAAAAAAAAAAAAAAAAAAAAAAAAAAAAAAAAAAAATACAAAAATTAGCTGGGCGCAGTGGCTCACACCTGTAATCCCAGCAGTTTGGGAGGCCGAGGCGGGAGGATCACCTGAGGTCAAGAGTTCAAGACCAGCCTGACCAACATGGAGAAACCACATCTCTACTAAAAATACAAAATTAGTCGGGCATGGTGGCACATGCCTATAAACCCAGCTATTCAGGAGGCTGAGGCGGGAGAATCGCTTGAACCTAGGAGGCAGAGGTTGTGGTGATCTGAGATTGTCCCATTGCACTCCAGCCTGGGCAATAAGAGCAAAACACCGTCTCAAAAAAACAAAAAGCAAAAATTAATGGGGTGCGGTGGCATGTGCCTGTGGTCCCAGCTACTTGGGAGGCTGACATAGAAGGAGGTTGAGGCTGGAATGAGCTATGATGGTGCCACTACACTCCGGGCTGGGTGACAGAGCAGAAATAAAAGAAAAACTGTGAGGATGATCATGGTCTCAACAGTGCTGATGGTGACAAGGATGAAGATGATGGCGTTGGTGTCTACATTAAAGGCACAAACATTGGCAGTGGGGATGACAGTGGCATTAAAGGAGGGGATGGTGGGGATGATGGTTTGGGTGAAGGTTATTGGGATATAATATGAATAATTCCACATTACCCTGTTACTACCTATCACAGCGTCTTAGGAAATTGGCCAGACCTGCTCCCCGATTAGCTGACATCCAAGGGAGGAAAGTTCTGAGTGACTTCCTTTTGCCCCTCACCTTCCTAAATTGTCTGTTTATGCTAAGCAAATCTGCCTCCAGACCTTGCAGCCAGTTAGAGCTCCTGTCAATAGGATCTAGATGAAAAAGGTGAAGAAAATGCTTTCCGCAATCTGGCATGTTATTGCTTGAGGTTTGTAAGTACAGTTGTCGGGAGCAAAGAAGCATGGTGGTTTTAATGATCTATCACTGCCTAACAAACCACACCAGAGCTTCATGACTTCAATGACCTTTTTATCTCCTCTCCCAGTTCTGTGAGCGACTGGGCTCAGTCAGGCAGTTCTGGTCCTCATGATGGCTCTGGGGATGCAGTCATCTGGGACGTGGAAAGGGCTGGAACATCTGAGTCTACTCACATGGTTGCCGGTCCATCTGGGCTGTTGGCTGAGAGCTCAGCTTTGGCCGCTGGCCAGAGCACCTTGGTCCGCCTTCATGTGGTCTTACCATGTGGCTTGAGCTTCTCACACCACCTCGTGAGGGCTGCAAGAGGAGGGAGCATTCCAAGAATGAATGTTCGGTGGGGGAAGAAAGCAGAAGTTGTGGGTCTTCTTAAGGCCCTTAAGAGGCACTGAAGTCCCACACCACCACTTCTGCTTCTTTCTAACAGGTCAAAGCCACCGCAAGGCCAGCAGGGAAACAACGGCAGGGAAAATAAATCCCACCTGTTGGTGGCAGAATGGCAGCGCGCTGAAAAGGGTGGAGTTGACGGTGACTGTCTTTAGAGATGACCACACTAGTATTATCCCTTTTGCAGTCTCAAAGGATGTTGTAAGGCTCTTGGACAATAGGAGGTCGAAAGTTCCCAGGACAAAGGGCAAAGGGTAGAGGATGCAGCAGGGATTGATCGATCCTGTCGCCTACCGTTGCTCCCTCTACCCCTACCGCTCCATTCTCTAGCCCAGAGGGTTGTCACCTCGACTGTTGAGGAGGACGGGCTTGGGACAGCAAGTGGGGGAAATTTCGGTGTATCCAGTCTGTGACACCGTCTCTCTCTGAGTCAGGCTTGGACTGGGACTCCCCTGGTTCCCGTAGCAAATTGATGCTATGAGCCAAAAAATCCCTTCTGACTCCTTTTGCCACAGTCTCTGGTCTTACTTCCCTCAGGACCCAGAGGGGCCACAGCTCTAGAGTGGAATGAGTCTTGGCTAGGCACCTTTGCAACAAAAGAGAGGATAGGATAATATTGGCAGTGGCAGTGCCAACATTGAAAAAGAGCGATGGTGATGGGAATGGAGACTCCGTGGAGAGGATGGCTTTGCTGACAGCAGTCACCTTTCTAAAGGTGATGACAGGAAGGATGCTGGCTTTGACAATGGTGGTGATGATGGCGAAGGTAATGCTAACAGCAGGGCAGAGGGGAGGAAGGCGTTGATTTCAGAGACGTCCGAATACTGGGAGGAGGATTCAGTTAGGTGACAACGATGGAAGTGAAGACGGTGGCCGAGGTGTTTGGGGAAGATTATGGCTGCTGGTTCTGTTTGTTTGTTTGTTTTTTGAGATGGAGTCTCGCTCTGTTGCCCAGGTTGGAGTATACTGGTGTGATCTCAGCTCACTGCAACCTCCACCTCCCGGGTTCAAGCAATTCTCCTGTCTCAGCCTCCTGAGTAGCTGGGATTACAGGCGCATGCCACCACGCCCGGCTAACTTTTGTATTTTTAGTAGAGACAGGACTTCACCATGTCGGCCAGGCTGGTCTCAAATTCCTGACCTCAGATGATCCACCCGCCTCAGCCTCCCAAAGTGCTAGGATTACAGGCGTGAGCCACGGCGCCCAGCCTTGGCTGCTGTTTTATCAACTACCCCTCTGGTCCCACAGAGACCCTCAAGGTGCCCGCCTGCTGCCTGACCAGAGGTCTCCCCAGCCTGGGCCTTCCCCGCAAGAGGACATTGCCAACTTCCAGGTCCTGGTGAAGATCTTGCCCGTCATGGTGACCCTGGTGCCTTACTGGATGGTCTACTTCCAGGTGAGCAGCCCCGCCCTTTTTCTCTGGGGGCCTGGCTTCCCCGTCACCACCTGAATGGCCTCAGTTCTCATCATAGAGGCCCAGGGCATGTGAAAAGGAGGAAAGCCAGGGAATAAAGCAAGTTGCTGCCCTGTACCAGCTAGCATAGGGCCTGGCACAAAGCCATCCCAGCAATCCAGCTCCCTCGGGTGGCACAGTAAGAGGAACCCTGGAGATGGCTTCCTCCTCTATGCCACCTGCGGGAGTTGAATTACTGGGATGGCTTTGTGCCAGGCTAGGTCCTTGAATAACTTACCACATCTCTCTGGGCCCGTTTCCCCGTGTGGTGGCTTAAACGAGAGGCTTTTCCAGCTCTGCCGAATTCAGATTGTCTGTACCTGAGGCCCAGAGAGGGTGTGTTGGTTGCCCGAGGCCCCACAGCAGGCAGGTCAGGGCAAGCTCCTGTGTGTGGAGTACTTTCCAGCAGTGGTTCCCCAACCTGGCTGTGCTTCAGAATCACCTGCAGAGCTTTTAAAAACATGCTCTCTGTTTTAAAAACAGATTCCAAGTCCAACCTCAGGCTACTGAATCAGAATTGCTGGGGAAGTCTCTAGTTTAAGAAGACTAGACACTGTGTCAGGCTGGGCACAGAGGCTCATGCCTGTAATCCCAGCACTTTGGGAGGCCGAGGCCAGTGGATCACCTGAGGTCGGGAGTTCAAGACCAGCCTGACCAACATGGAGAAATCCCATCTCTACTAAAAATACAAAAAATTAGCTGGGCATGGTGGCGCATGCCTGTAATCCAAGCTACTTGGGAGGCTGAGGCAGGAGAATCACTTGAACCTGAGAGATGGTTTGTAGTGAGCCGAGATGGTGCCATTGCACTCCAGCCTGGGCAACAAGAGTGAAACTCTGTCTCAAAAAAGAAAAAGAAAAAGAAAAACAAAGAAACTTTTCAAATGATACTGATACTCAGGGTTGAGAAGTATTCCCTCCCACTCATCATATTACTCCCCGGTGGGGAAGTTAGTGATGTGTGTGTGTGCGTGTGTGTGTGCGCGTGCGCGCGTGTGTGTGTGATTGTTAGGGGGGTGGGCAGCAGCTGAATGCTAGCCCCCAGGTCATAAGGTCATTGTCGTCCATGCCGCCTTCATAGGAACATTTGTTGGCACTCCCAGCCTGCTACTTAGGGGTGCACAGAGCATGTTTACGCTGAGTCAGGAACATGTGGTAGGGGGAGGGTCTCCATGGCTGATTCTCAGTCATACCAGTTGGCAAATGGCTGCTGCCCAGAGCAGCCCACATGCCCTCCCCTGCCCCTGCCCTTCTTGTGGGAGTCTCCTGGATCCCACTCCATTTATATAGCAACTAAACAGGCAATGCCTGGTACGGGAGGGGGCCCCTGGGCCCTGCTCCTGCAGCTGTGTCCAGAGCTGCTCTGGCAAGTCTGTGTCTATGCACTTCTTGTGTCAACCTGTGGGGCTCAGCTTGGCTCCAGTGTCAGATGAGAACTCCCTGTGCGGGCAGCCATTATCTTTCCCGTTGCCACAAACATTTATCCATGCTTACTCTCTGCCGGGCCCTGGGGACACAAATACGAATCAGACCAGCTGTGCCTGGGCTCTGGGATAAGGCTGTGCACTGCTCGAAGGCCTGAGAGCAGAGCACAGGATGCTCCCTGCCCAGCCTGGCTCCCTCGGAGAAATGAGGGTGGAAAGGTGACTTTTTCCCTGAGACTGGGAGAGGGGACAGCTGCCCAGCTGCCCTGTGCTACTGCTGAGGAATGCCACCTGGGAGCTGGGAGGGGCACAGCCGGTTCCGCTCCAGCCTCACCCCTGTCTCTCTTGGCAGATGCAGTCCACTTACGTCCTGCAGGGTCTTCACCTCCACATCCCAAACATTTTCCCAGCCAACCCAGCCAACATCTCGACGGCCCTGAGAGCCCAGGGCGGCAACTACACGGTGAGAGATAAAGCATGTGTTCAGCACCCAGTTCAGCGCAGGTAGCGGCTTCCTCTGAGAAGAGGAGGATGAAACTGCCGTCACACTCTTCTTTCCTGGCCGCAAGGCAACCTCAGTATACAGGAAAAGCCCCTGGAGGAGTGCGGGCTTGTGCCACGGCACAGGCGTCCTGCCAAGATGCTCATTGCTTGAAAGAATTCAGGCCAGCTGCACACCCCCATGCTGCTGCTCTGAAGCAGGCCTCACTGCCTAATTTGCACCCTAAGATCAAGCACACTCAGGCCCCTTTTCAGCTCTTCCTTGTCCCCTCTTTCCCTGGGACTCTTAGATATCTAGATCTCTGCCTTTCCCAGAACTTTCAAAACCAGTTCCTTGGCATGTCAGAGACTCATGAAATCAATGATCTGCAGAGCTGGCAGATAAATGAGAAATTTGCAATCGTACTCCATTTCCTTGCTCATGGCAGACATCACTAGTCAATCATGACTTTTTTTTTTTTTTTTATGCTGAGCCCATGAATGTTCCACAATCAGCCACTACCAATTGATAAAACTTAGAATACAAGAGGAACCTATTTGCCATCTCTATATAATCCTACTCCCTGGTTACACAGCTGAGGAGCCTGAGTTCCAGAGAGAGGAAGGAGCTGAACCCCTGGGTCACCTCGGGCCAGTCTAGAGTCCAGATCTCCTGACTGCAGTGGGCTCCTTCCACTCTGCTAGCCTGCCTCTCGTGACTTCCTCCTGCCCAGATCCCGGAAGCCTGGCTCCTCCTGGCCAACGTTGTGGTGGTGCTGATTCTGGTCCCCCTGAAGGACCACTTGATCGACCCTTTACTGCTGCGGTGCAAGCTGCTGCCCTCTGCTCTGCAGAAGATGGTGCTGGGGATGTTCTTTGGTTTTGCCTCCGTCATTGTGGCAGGTGTGTGGAGGGATGTGGGGCAGGGGGCTGGACTTGGTCTGGGCTTGGGGGTGCTGGCTCCACCACGGGCTGGTGCTGAAGCGGTAGCCTGGGCAAGATCAGCGTCTCCCAACAGGCGTCAGCGTTGGCTTCCCAGAAGTGCAGGCTGAAAGAGACCCTCCTAACTAATCCAGCCTCCCCTCATTTTGACAGAGGAAGAAACTCAGGCCAAGAGAGGAACAGGTATTTTCCCCAGTGAATTACACGCTCTTTGAAGGCAGAGATTTTTTTTCTTTTTTATTCACTACTGTGAATCATGCATGAGAGCCCTCAATAAAAGTGTTGAATGAATTTTGCACTTAGTGGCAAATGAAGACTTACAAAAAATCCTCTTTCTTCCTCCATTTCAAAAGGATCTGAAGCAGTTTGCCGCAAAGTGGGGAGTGAGTGGGGAATGTTCAGCTAAAGAAGTCTTTCACCCTTTTGCACAAACCTGAACCCTTTTTACTTAATAACTTTATGACCCTGAAGTTACTCAGTCTCTGGGCTGCATCTTTAAAATGGGGATAGGTCTTTGGGAGGCTGAGGTCGGCAGATAGCTTGAGGTCAGGAGTTCAAGACCAGCTTGGCCAACATAGTGAAACCCTGCCTCTGTTAAAAATACAAAAATTAGCTGGGTGCAGTGGCATGCGCCTGTAGTCCCAGGCTACTCGGGAGGCTGAGGCAGGAAAATCACTTGAAACTGGGAGGCAGAGGTTGCAGTGAGCCGAGATTGTGCCGCTGCACTCCAGTGTGGGTGACAGAGGGAGACTCCATGGGGATAGGTGTCATTCAGACCCTGAGCAGTGCTCTGCTCTCATGGAACTCAGCCTGATGGGGGTGTTGTGAGGATTAAAGGAGATGAAATCTGCAAAGAACTCAGCCATGTGCCTGGATCACAAGTATGAGCTGGAGAAATGAAACCTCCATAAACGATATTGTATTGAAAGTGTGAAAACCAAACTAGATTTTTTCCCCAGCTATATCCTTACGGCAGTTTGTCCTATTTTATCCTCATAATAATTCTGGGAATGTTATTCCTGCTTTTTGCATAAGGGAACTGAGTTCAGAGAGGTTAAGTGATTTGCCCAAGGTCACACAGCTAGCCAGGCTAGGAACCCAAGACCTCTAACTCCATGTTTATTGTTCATTCCACTGGAACACAGCTATCTCCCAAGCAATGCAGGAGATGGAGATAACATAGTTAAACTTGAAAACCAGGTTAGAAATGCTACAGAAATACTTGACTTTGCAGTAGAGAAGTCATGTGATATGATGGAAAGTAGGTCAGCTTTGAAACCATACATACCAGGGCTCAAATCCAGCCCTGGCTACTTACCAGCTGCGACTGTGGGCTCGTTTCTTCACCTGTTTCACTTTCTTTACCAGGAGGGACACATACCAAATGCCTAGCTCATAACAGGTTCTCTGTTAATGAGAGTTGTTAACCGTTATAGAATGCAAAACTCAGCTCTGAGCTTCCTAGCAGCCAAGACAAAAAGGGAGGAGTTGGTCAAATCTTGGCCCCTCCTCCACCCAGTCCCCGCTCCCAGTCCAGTATTCTTTACCTTACCTGCTGCTGCTCAGTCAATCTTTGGCTACTTAATGAGTACCTCCCTGAGCCTATGTACAAGCTCTGCTGTGGGCTAAGCTGCCTGGGGTGGGCCTGACTGTAATTCCCCTCTGCTCCTCCACCAGGAGTCCTGGAGATGGAGCGCTTACACTACATCCACCGCAATGAGACAGTGTCCCAGCAGATTGGGGAGGTCCTGTACAACGCAGCACCACTGTCCATCTGGTGGCAGATCCCTCAGTACCTGCTCATTGGGGTCAGCGAGATTTTTGCCAGCATCCCAGGTACCCTGGATACCCTCCCCTGCTCCTGCACCACCGAAGGGCTCTTCCTGGTGGCACCTCCAAGTCTTGGGCTGTAGGGGTGCAGCCTCCATGGAGGAAGCATGGGGGAAGGTGGTGTTTCCAACCGGGACGGCATTCACCCAACGGGGATCTGTTATTAGCACCTGGTTCAAGTCAGCCAGTGTGACAGACACTGGGATTGGGAGGCGAGCAAGGCACTTCCCACACCAGCTTTCCATATGGTCCCCTAGGGCCAGGCTTTGGACACTTTGTGTCTTTGAAGTTGCTGTCGCCTCTACCTTAGATTGAAGGTGAACCCGTATTTCCCCTTCAGTTCTGAGCCTAAATACCAAGGTCCTTGGGCAGAAAGTGTCCTCCCTTCCCACCCCGTGTTCATCTCTCTATCAGAGCACACAGTACTCTGGGTCATAATAAGGCATTTCTCTTTTTTTCTTTTTAGACGGATTCTTGCTCTGTCGCCAGGCTGGAGTGCAGTGGTGTGATCTCGGCTCACTGCAATCTCCACCTCCCGGGTTCAAGTGATTCCCCTGCCTCAGCCTTCCGAGCAGCTGGGACTACAAGGCTCATGCCACCACGCCCAGCTGGGTTTTTTTTGTATTTTAGTAAAGATGGGGTTTCAACATGTAGGCCAGGATGGTCTTGATCTCCTGACCTCATGATCCACCCACCTCTGCCTCCCAAAGTGCTGGGATTACAGGCGTGAGCCATCCTGCCTGGCCTTAATAATACATTTCTATGTCCTTCCTTCCGCACCCTCCCAACCCCCTTTGTCGGGCTGGGAGCTAGAGCTGCAGGGCTGGGCAGACCCTTCAGTCAGCAAAGGAGCAAGGGCGTCCTCAGCTGCAGGTCCAGGGCTAGGCTGGGTCAGACATAAAGAGAAAACTGACCCTGGGCGCTCACTCAGATGGTGGGGAGAGAGTCATGCAAACAGTGAACCAGTGGAGTGCTGCGAAGACAGGGAAGAGTGTGGTGGGAGCCCTGAAGCATGGAGGGAGACGGGCGGGCGAGCAGGTAGGAGGAGGGGTCTTACAGGCAAAGGGAGCAGCATAAGCAAAGATCCAAGCCCTCGGGAATCATGGAGGATAGGGCTGGATAGGCCTGGGAGGTCTCCAAGAGCTTTGTGGGCTGAGCCCCACACTTTGGAATTTCTCCTGAAGACAACAGCGCCCTTCCCTTCCACAGGGTTTTGGCCCCGAAAGGACCCCATCAGAGATGCTTGAGACAGACGATCCTGGCTGTATGAGGAGGTCAGGAGTCGGGGGAGTTTAAAAAGCATTTGCAGGGCCAGGTGTGGTGGCTCACACCTGTAATCCCAGCACTTTGGGAGGCCGAGGCGGGAGGATCACAAGGTCAGGAGTTCAAGACCATCCCGGCCAACATGGTGAAACCCCGTCTCTGCTAAAATACAAAAAAAAAAAAAGCCAGGCATGGTGGCGTCTGCCTGTAATCCCAGCTACTCGGGAGGCTGAGGTAAGGGAATCACTTGAACCGGGAGGCGGAGGTTGCAATGAACCGAGATTGCACCATTGTACTCAAGCCTGGCGACAGAGCAAGACTTCGTCTCAAAAAACAAACAAACAAAAAAATTGCAGGAAATGACCAGGGCTGGGGGGTTGGATCTCCAGGGCAGAAGGAACAGAGAGAAGGACATACACTTAGAATTGATTTAGAATAGATTTCAGAGGTTGTATCAAAATGATTTGATGATGTTGAAGGTGGGCAGAGAGGGAGGGGAGAGAGAGGAGGTAAAGACGGTGTTGTCGCTGAAAAGAGAGACCCAGCAGGAAGGGGAGGAGGGGAGACAGAGCTAGTGGAGCACCCAGGTACAGGGGGTCAGCCAGGAGCCAGGTGAGCAGGGCAGAGGGGAAGGCGGCATTGACACTTAGGTGCTGTCATTGCTACTGAGTGGACAGGCATCCAGGGGAAGCCTGGAGGGTGGCTTGGTCGGGGGAGAGTCAGGGGCAGCAGGTAGGGCCCGGGCCTGTTCTCTGCACCTGCACCAGCCCCTGAGATCCTCTCTGCTCCCTCTCTGCAGGCCTGGAGTTTGCCTACTCAGAGGCCCCGCGCTCCATGCAGGGCGCCATCATGGGTATCTTCTTCTGCCTGTCGGGAGTGGGTTCACTGTTGGGCTCCAGCCTAGTGGCACTGCTGTCCTTGCCCGGGGGCTGGCTGCACTGCCCCGAGGACTTCGGTGAGTAGGGGAGCCTCCCCAGGAATGGGACACCGGTGGAGGGAGGCGTGGAGAGAAGGTGGCATCTACTAAGTGTTTTGACTCTGGGCAGAAGCAAGCTGAGGGCTAGCCTTGGGAGAATGGGCTTCTAGCCCCGGCTCAGCCAGTCACCCACAGCGCGGCCTCCCTCCTTGGGCCTTTGTTTCCCCAACTGTTGAGCTGAGTGGACCTCCAAGGCTCCTTCCGGCTTCTGGAACTCTGCCATTTCTGGCTGGAGGGTCACCTTTCTCACAGTATTTGTATTTCACACCCTCCTCTGAATAGCTGAAGAGGAATCGCAGGCACCCCTGGAGACCTTCAGGAAGCCAGGGATTAGCAGTTATCTGTCCAGGGACACTGGCAGGGATGGTGCAGGACAGAGGATCCCCGCCCTGACTCAAATCCAACTCCTCCTCTCCCCAGGGAATATCAACAATTGCCGGATGGACCTCTACTTTTTCCTGCTGGCTGGCATTCAGGCCATCACGGCCCTCCTATTTATCTGGATCGCTGGACGCTACGAGAGGGTGACCCAGGGCCCAGCGGCCCACAGCGGTTTCAGCCGCGACAGGGGCTGAACACGCCCCATTCCAACCCCCTCCCTTCACTCCAGCAGACAGACAGAAGCAGTCCCAGCTGTGGCTTCCTCGGTTTATTCTGTACCCAACATTGGAATGAAATGATTCCCATAAATAAGGGGCATGAGCCCTTCTTCATGACCATGGTCCATGACAAGGGGCAGGGCAGAGGAGGCCTGGGTGGGAGTCCTTGCGGGGCACCAGGCAGGGGACTTGGATCAAGTGCCAGAGGATGAGCAGGGGGCCAGGCGAGAGGCTCGGTGGGACCTCACCCTCGCTGCCCCAGCTGGTGCTGACCAGGTGGCTGCAGAGGGTCAGGAGCTGCCCCGGATCCTCTCCATGTAGTTGCGAAGCTCCTCTGGGTCCTTCAGCCCCATGTCCTCACACACCCAGCGGATGTCCTCCTCACCCGCCACCAGGATGGACTGCACAGCAGGGGCCCCTGTGGGCTCCTCAGGTGGCTGGGCTGGAGGGGCAGGCGCGAACGTCACGAACTCTACCCGCTTCCGCCGTCCCCCAGCCTCCTTTCGGGCCAGGGTGCTTGAGGAGCCAGTGGTGCCCCCAGGAGGGTCAGGGGCCAGGGTTGGGGCTTCTCCTCCTCCCCCACTCTCACAGGGGCAGCCTCCCTCCCCCTTGGGTGGGCCAGAGGACCGCCGGTCCAGCTGGCGGCTCAGTTCCTCCTGGTCAGTGCCCAGCCAGACCCAGTTGTGGGGTTGGGGGGAGGTGGGGCCAGTGGTGCTGTCGGGAGGCTCTTTGCGCTGATAGCGCAGGATGAAGACCACACCATTGACCAAGAAGATGAAGATGGCCACACAGAAGATTCCCAGCAGGGCGTACATGCCCAGTTCTAGGTCGGTGACACGCTGAGGGGCGGGGACCATCTCTTCCTCCTCTTCCTCCTCCTCCTCCTCCCTGGCTTCAGTCTCCTCCTTCCTGGCCTCCTCCTCTGCCCGCTCAAACTTGCCCCTCACGCCCATGCTGCCCCCGACACCGCCTGCCGCCTGCTGTTCACCGCCCACGGTGGCTTCCGTGGCTGGCGGGCTCCAAGCAGGGCCGGATGGGAGGGCAGGGGCCAGTGTGGAGACAGGGGGCAGCCCCAGCCAGGCAGTGCCAGAGGCCAGAGGCACACGGTGGCGGCCCCGGCGGCAGGGCTCGGGCGGGTGCAGAGCCACGTGCAGCGGCAGCCCCTCAGCGCCTGCCCCACTCACCACCACCCCGAGCTGAGCGCCCTGCTCCTCCGCTGGCAGGACGGCAGCGGGCTCCTCGGCTGAGACGGACAGTCCCAGGTCACGGTGGTCGTAGAGCTCAGCCGGGGCCAGAGTGTGATCAGAGAAGGACAGCCACAGGGAGAGGGCCACCTCCTGTGGGGCACACAGACACAGGCAGAGACACGCGAGGGCACGCACGCATGCAGAGAGAAACCACTCCCACAGAGACAGGCCACATGGAGGAAAGACCAGAGAGAGAACAGACACAGGCAGATGGACACAACACAGGGAGAGAGGGGACGCGTGTCAATCACCTGTCTGCCACTCAGCCCCAGGGTCTGAGTTACTGGGAGGATCCTCAGAGCCATCTAACCAACATCCCACTGCCTTGCTCCAGCCTCTGCTTGATCACCCCCAGCTGCAGAGAGCTCACTACCTCACAGGGAAGTCAGTCCTCACTCTGAAAACCCTAAGGTAAGGGGTCGAGGTGCGAGGGGCTCCTCCCTCCAATCCCCCTCTACCATAGCCCCCATCTGGAGATGCTGACCTCATCCCCCCGACCCCCCAGCTGTCACCTGCTTTGGGGCGGGATGGGCTGACTGTGCCCAGCACGTGGCTGTAACCTCCCCGGGGTGGGTTGTGCCCCGGCTCAAGGTCAGCGAGATGCCCATCACCGGCTGCACCCGCAGCTCCAGCACCGAGACCTTGTCGTCCGTCACGGCCAGCGCCTGCTCCCCAAGGATGGAGTCAGACAGCGGGGAACGGACCTGAGGGTGGGAAGGGGCCAGAAGTTGGGGGGCCTTCCACACAGCCCCCACTCAGAGGGAACCAGTGCTCCCAATACCCTCAGAGGCTGCTCTCTGGAGGTGGGGGGGCCTTCCGCACAGGTAGCCCCCACCCAGAGGGAACTGGGTGCTCCCAGCACCCCCACAGGCTGCTCTCCTTCCACCCTTTGCACCCTAATGCATACCTGAATCCCATTTGCACACCTAGGGGACAGTTTCCTTTTCCCTCAAGACCTGGTCCCCACATTACCCACACCTCAGACCTTCATACCTAGAGGGCTCCCCCGTTATGTGGCCACCCCATTCGGAGCCCATCCCCAATCCCACTGCACTCGGCCTAGACCACGCACCCCCACACATGCCCTGAGCTCTCTGCACTCTTCACTCCCGCTCCTGAACATTCTAGGGGCCCCTACACCCCTCTCCGGGTCCGCTCTCCTGGTGGCTGGCTGCTTACCTCAATGGAGGTGACTCCGGGCTCCCGGCCCACAAGGACGCGGCCACCCTCCAGCGAGGCTACACGCGGGTCCAGCACATGGGCATGCGGTGCCACGAGGTGGGACACGTCCAGCAGCCAGTCCGAGCCGAGCAGGTGTGTGAGGCGGCGGCCACCGTCCAGCGGGTGGGCCGCAAAGGGGGCGAGGAAGCGCACGCCGGCGCGCTGGTACTGCAAGTGGCAGCCTCGGGCGCGCCCCTCGGCCTCATCTGCCGCCTCTGAAGCAGGTTCTACAGGCCTGCGGGGTGGAGGAGGCGGGGCAGGGGAGGGGACAGGGACTGGCCATCAGCACTGCGCAGCTCCAGCCTGCCCCGGGCCCAGCTGCTGGAAACCCACAGATCCTTGCTGGAGGCTCCTAATCACCAGTGGCCCCTGTTTCTCAAACAGACATCTGCTCCTCCTGGGGTCAGGCCCTTCCACCTGCAGGAGAGCTGCCCCAGCCCACTCCCAACTGGCGCTGTTCCTCGATCCAGTCCACACCACTCTTGCTCCCAAATGGACCCCAGGGGAGATACTCTCTTACGGGGACCCTGGGCACGCTCACAGTCTGGAGGGCCTGGAAGCTAGATTCTAGAGGCCTGGGCTGCCTTGCCTGGGTTCTGGGGAGCCCTCTCCAAGGGTGTTCACTTCCCGAGCTCTGTGCCATCTTAGGCTCTGAGAGTATAGCAGTGACCAGCATAGACAGACCCTGCCTTCAAGGGGCTTACGTTCTCAGGGGAGGAGTGTGGAAAGGATGGAGATTAGGAAGTGGCGGGTGCCAGGGAGAAGTGAGGCAGGGAAGGAGGAGAGGGGCGCAGAGGTCAGCAAGTTCACAGAAAGCGGTCACTGGCTGGGTGGTCAAGGGTGGAGGTGGGCAGAAGGGACTACAAGCAACAGGGCAGTTTTCAGACCCTGGCTGTGTCCCCTGCGCCCTCTCCGTCCCAGTGTGACTCGCCAAGGCCTGCCAGCTTCCTCAGGCCTCCACTCACCCTTCGGCAGGGCCAGGTACCCTCCAGCCGCGGACCTGCTCCAGGGTGGTGTCAGTGAGCTCGATACGCAGCGGTAGCAGTGGGGCCCACACGGTCAGCCGCAGCGAGGCCCGGAGCCGGCGCCACCAGAAGTCTACCCGCACGCCCCGGGCACCCCGGCTCTCCTTGCCAGCCACGAACACGGCATCACAGGCCTCAGACACCTATCGGGGAGGAGAAGGCAGGCAGGCGGGCTAAGCCACTAAAGACAGGTGTGAGGCTGAGCCTGTGGGTGGCTCACGCCTGCAGCCCCAGCACTCTGAGAGGCCAAGGTGGATGGATCCCTTGAGTCCAGGAGTTTGAGACTAGCCTGGGCAACATGGCCAAAATCCCTTTCTACAAAATATACAGTAAATCGGCCAGACGCGGTGGTTCACGCCTGTAATCCCAGCACTTTGGGAGGCCTAGGTGGGTGGATCACCTGAGGTCAGAAGTTCAAGATCAGCCTGACCAACATGGTGAAACCCCGTCTCTACTAAAAATACAAAATTAGCCAGGTGAGGTGGCACATGCCTGTAATCCCAGCTACTCGGGAGGTTGAGGCAGGAGAATCACTTGAACCCAGGTGGTGGAGGTCACAGTGAGCCGAGATCATGCCATTGTACTTCAGCCTGGGCAACAGAGTGAGACCCCATGTCAAAAAAGAAAAAAGAATTACAGTAAATCAGCCAGATGTGGTGGCACGTGCCTGTAGTCCCAGCTACTGGGGAGGCTGAGGTGGGAGGATCTCTTGAGCCTGGGAAGCTGTGACCACAGTGAGCTGGACTGCACCATTGCACTCCAGCCTGGGGACAGAGTAAGACTGTCTCAAAACAAATAAATAGATTTTCAAAAGGACAGAAAAGAAAGAAAATAAAAGAAAGAAAGAGAGAAAGAGAAAGGAAGGAAGGAAGGAAAGAAAGAAAGAAAGAGAGGCATGGGCCAGAAGAGAGCAGCCCTGACCTCAGGCCATAGGCCCGGCTCCCACTGCGTTCAGCTCTGTTTCACTGGAGTGCATGTGGCGGCAGGACTGCTGGTGAAGCCGCTGTTTTTTATTTAAGAAGATTTTACTGTAGGGGCCATTCTTTGAGTTCCCCTGGGGCTCAGTCGGGGAAACTGGTCATTGCATACCTGTCTTCCCCCTGGCAGAGCAGGGGTGTGAAGCCATAACTCTGGCTTCTTATTCTCGCTGGCCTTTGACACTGCTCCTGGAGCCACCTGGCAACCGGCTATAGCCACGTAGGCAGAGGTGGGCAAGGCCAATCTCCCCACCGAGGGCCCTCCAGCAGGAACCACACGCATTTGAGCAAAGGGCGCCACAAGGTGGGAAAGGCACTTCCTCCATTCAGGTGGCTGGGATTTGCAAACACGCAGGCTCCATGCTTCCCCTTCCAGAACTTCAAGAGAAAATTGCCCTACTCCCCTTTTTTTGGCTTCACAATCTCAAATAATAATAATAAACTTTACCATTATGTAATTATTACATCATATTACAATAGCAGTAGCTGATGTTGTTCCAGCTCCTGCTGTCTGCCAAATACTGTCTTAAGGTGCTTTTAATTCTTTTTTTTGTTTTGTTTTGTTTTGATATGGAGGTTCACTCTTGTTGCCCAGGCTGGAGTGCAATGGTGCAATCTCGGCTCACTGCAACATCTGCCTCCCAGGTT